GGATGAGTTAGACCTAGAATTCTCGAGACAGCTCTCAGAGGCAGTGCGCTCAAAGGACCTGGCTGTCGTGGGTGACCTAAACTTCCCAGACACCTGCTGGGAGGAACAGGCAGCCAGGTCTGCCCATTCACGTAAGTTTCTAACCTACTTACAGGACCTTCACCTATCACAGGATGTAAACATTCCCACTAGGAGAAATGCCTTTCTAGACTTGGTACTGGCCACAGGGCATGACTTTGTGGGGGATCTGCAGGTACAAGGTAACCTAGGGGATAGTGACCACCTCCTGATAGAGTTCACTATCCAGCAAAAGGTGTGGAAAATAACTACAGTAAAAGCTCTGTTATCCAGCATCTCCCAGGAATGGAGGATGCCAGTTAATCAAATATTCCAGTTAATCAGATGTGCACCACCTGGTGCACTCCCCGGCGTCAGTGTGCCTGGGGACAGGGAGGGAGGCCCTGCGCAGGCTGCTTTTCCCTGCTCAGGCATAGAAAGGGACCATCCCAGTACACATAAAGGGGGCAAAAAGAGCCAAGAAACCCTCTTGGTTAAGCAGGGAAATTCAGGAGAGCCTAGAGGGGAAGAGAGAGGCCTACAGGCTATGGAGGCAGGGGATAACCACCAAGGAAGAGTATACCTGCTTGGCTCGAGCTTGCAGGGAAGCAGTGAGGAGAGCTAAATCAAAAATGGAGCTTAGGCTGGCAGCAAAAGTTAAGGATAACAAAAAGTAATTCTTTAAATACGTAGGAAGCAAAAAGAAAGTGCAGGATATCATAGGGCCCCTTCACGATGGACTATGGCAACTGGTAACAGATAGGATGGCGCTCCTAAATGATTTCTTTACATCTGTGTTCCCAGACACGAATACAAGCATGCATCCCAATGTGACTTCAGGTAAACACGAGACAGATACCAACCCACCAACTGTTAGCGCTGACCTAGTAAAGGTGCACCTGGAGGGGTTGGATGTATTTAAGTCAACAGGCCCTGATGATCTTCACCCTAGGGTACTTAGGCAATTAGCTGGAGTCAGAGCGGATCCACTGGCACAACTGTTTGAGCACTCGCAGTGCTCAGGACAGGACCCTGAGGATTGGAAAAGGGCCAATGTGGTCCCTATTTTCAAGAAGGGGAGGAAGGAGGAACCAGGTAACTATCGGCCGGTTAGCCTCACACCTCTATCCTTGGCAAGACCTTTGATAAAATTGTTAAGGATCACATTTGTGGGGGGCCAGCAAGTAAAATAATGCTAAGGAGTAACCAGCATGGGTTCATACCAGGCAGATCCTGCCTGACTAACCTGGTTTCTTTTTTAGAACCGGGTCACAAAATGCTTGGATGAAGGAATAGAGGTAGATGTTATTTACTTAGATTTTAAAAAGGCCTTTGACACAGTGTCACACCAAATGCTTATAAATGCACTAAACAGTTGCAATGTAGATTATTACACAGTCCAGTGGGTATAAAATTGGCTTATGGGACACACCCAGAGAGCAGTCATGGATGGGTCGGTTCTACCTGGAGAAACGTGGGCAGGGGAGTCCCCCAGGACTCTGTCCTGGGCCCTGTACTGTTCAATATCTTCATTAGGGACTTGGACGAGGGAGTAGAAAGCACCCTGTCCAAGTCTGCAGATGACACCAAACTATGAGGGGAAGAAAACAAATTAGAGGGCAGGGAGCGAATCCAGGCAGATTTGGACAGGCTGGGGAAGTGGGCGGAACAGAATAGGATGCAGTTTAACAAAGATAAGTGCCATGTGTTGCACCTAGGGAGGGAGAATAATCAACACTACTGTAGCCTGGGAGGTAGCATTCTAAGTAGCACAACAGCGGAAAGGGATCTCAGAGTTGTAGTCAACTCCAAAACAAACACGAGTCACCAATGTGATGAAGTAATAAGTAAAGCTAACCGCATACTTTCTTGCATAAGTAGGTGCATCACAAGCAGGTCTAGGGAGGTGATACTTCCCCTCTATGCGGCACTGGTCAGGCCACAGCTGGAGTACTGCATCCAGTTTTGGGCACCGCACTTCAGGAGGGATTTAGATAACCTTATAAGGGTTCAGAGGAAGGCCACCTGTCTGGCTAAAGGCCTACAGGAAAAACACTACAAGGACCGATTGAGGGACATGAATCTCTTCAGCCTCTGCAGGAGAAGGCTGAGAGGTTATCTTGTGGCCGTCTACAAACTCATCGGGGGGGGGGGAGAACAGGAAATAAAGGATACGATATTTACCCAGGCACCCATCGGGGTAACTAGAAACAATGGCCACAAACTGAAGGAGAGCAAATTTAGAATAGACATCAGGAAAAAAATTCTTCACTGTGAAGGTTGCCAAAATATGGAATATGCTTCCAAGGGAGGTGGTGCTGGCTTCCTTGGAGGTATTTTCCTGCCCAGGGCAGGGGGTCAGATTCGAAGATCTAATAGATCCCTTCTGACCTTAAAATCTATTAAATCTATGAAATATGGTAAATTTATGACAACCAACTTGGGCACAGGTATCCAACAGCTCCCTGGTGCACTGGGGCCTAAAACTCTTTAGGGATATGAGTAATACCACTGAATTCAATGGGCTTACTTATGTACATAAATGTTTGCAGAATCAAGGCCTAAAAGTAACTCTCTCTTTGTTGATGAAACGTTCATATTGATACTATAAAAACAAAATTAAAAGTGATTTGATATAAAGCACTGAAATATTACTTTTAATAAACTATAAATAATTTGGTTAATGTTACTGACCCATAAAACAAGATTTAGGATTTTCTTAATACATGGAAGTATGTATTTTTGTATTTAAAAAGTTTCAGATGTTAAGATTTTTCTACCCTATATTCACATCAATTCAAATTAAAATAGAGTATATGGATGACAACACCAGGGAAAATATCCAAAGCTCTAACTTCTCACCATTCTATCATCACCTCAAAGTCAATTTTCACCTTTTTCACTGGCTGAGTTTGCTATCTTACATTTTGCTTTGGGGCTCATGTGTTCTTGCAATATGGCAGTGCTGAATTATAAGAGTACTGACAAGGCTGTTTACTGCAAATGTGCAATAGCTATATTACAATACTTCAGGAATCAGATTCCACAATGCATGTGGAAGAGAGAGAGAGAGAAAAAAATAAATTCAGAGAGTACTTCATTTTTGTTAATTTTATGTGGGATTTCAGCTACACAGCTCTCCACTGAATCAAATACAGCCAAGCACACAAAGACCATAAAATAACTTTTTATCCTGGTGAGTAAAGAACTGCCTGAGGCAAAGCCTCCTATATTTGCTTTTTACTAAGAGTGAGGAAACAATTAAGGACCTGATCCTACAAATACCTACAGCAAAGTGCAATGCTTATGGCTGCAGTAGTCCCATCTGACCAGATTCATCAACTGCTGTCCCAGGCTCACAGAGTTAGCCTATGTGCACCAGACCAGAATTTCTTTCCTGAAGTCTCAGGAATGATTAGGGTGCAAGGCCCATTGCTAAGATGTGCACCCTAAAAGTAAAGATTACAGCTGCAGTGTGGCTGGCAGATATGATTTCTGGGAAAGCACAGAGCCAGGAAAGGGCAGGCTTTAGAGCAGACTCCCCACCCCGCAACGTGTCATTCTGATCTCCAAATTGCCCACCTTGACTTGTTTAATTTTGCTTCCTTTGCATTAGGAGTGGAACCAACAAGCAGAAAATCAGGCTGGTCACCAGGCCCACAGAGTTCAACAGACCAGAAGTACCTCTTGGTTTTTAAGACAGCTATCAAATAAGACAGATATGTTGCACCACATAAGGAAAAATAGTTATTATGAAATTAAAGACCAGGTCCTAGTGTATATACACACAAACAGAATTTAGATAGCAGAGGCTACCTTAATCTTAGCATTAACACCATTCAACACAAAGTTGTGTTTTACATGTGTAAATACACATAATACTACAGTCTTATGCAAAAAAGGTACATAAAAATGTGACAGCAGAAATAAACTGACAAGAGCCAAGCAGATTAGATATAAGGTACAACACCAACATTCCTGAAATTAAACCTGAATGTTTTCACACCTGTTGCCAGAAAAATCTCACCTTATTACCCATGTATCTTTGATATGCTTCCCACAGTTTCCGTTACATTGACAAGGTCAACACCACCCATAGATGAGTTTTGGCAGAACATGGCACTTAAAACTTCTCAAACCAAGACAATAATTTGCTAATACAACTAAAACATAGGTGTTTATGTTGTAATTGGGGGGGAAAGAGGTAAGCAAGTCATATGAGTTAATTAATGTACCTGCAGCCACTAAGTTCCCCTATCTGTCAAAAAGCAGCAAATAGACAACCTGAAATAGAGACTTTTGCAGTCCATGCTTGATTTTTACGTTCCTTTATGGCAAATATGAGAAACAGCAACAATTAGACAAGCAAAATGGACAGCATATGGATAAACAGATGAACGCAGCTAAGGCATAAGTTAAGGCAGTATTAAGGGACCAGGGAAAATTTCATGAACAAGAGATGAGAAATATAATCAACCAATAACAGCTCATTAAGCCTCTGCACTCAGTAAGTTCAATTATTGCAGCACTGTATACTCTTAACACTCCTCATACTTTGTCATTTACACTATTAATTTTACTGGTGGGTTTATTGATAACTTTTAAACCATATTCAAAATATTTTTTTACAAGCATTCTTGTCCTAACTGCTTTATTTCAACCTAAATGCTAGAGTCCACCCCTCCCTTAAATATTTTATGCACAGCTTTGTGCTTAATGACCTCTAACTTTGCTTGCATCTACAAACCTACCTTTCATTTAGCCCTTCCAAGAGTATTTAAAAATCTACACAAACAGGTAATATAGTTTAAACACTCATCACCTGCTCCAAGTACTCTTGTTACCACCTGGCCTTTCACCTGTCCAGAAGTATTGGACAGAAAAAGTTAAGAACCTCTGGATTGCATTATATTAACACAAGACCTGAAGCCTGCTGATATTACCTTAGATTTTCAACCAAGAAGTATTTTCAATTGTTAAAGATTCCTCATTTCTTTTTTCAGGGCAGTTCCAAAAGCAGTCTATCAAACAGACCCAGCAAACCACAGCCACTCCCTTCTTTGCGTGTTACTAAGACTTATCAATGGCCATCAGCAAGTTCAAATAGAAACATGGTCCTCATTGGATGATTTATTTTCAAGGACGTTCACTGACATTTAAAAACCAAATAAAAATACTAAGCTATCAAAACAGGCTATTCTTTATTTAATTTCGGTTTTTCTTCTTTGCCCCACTACATGAGACTGCTGTGTTTTCCTAAAAATGCAGGTACAATATATCACCTTTCCTTTTCTTCTCTGCTATCCCTTTCTCTAAAAACCAGGCACACCTCAACAGCATCACACTTCTACCAAATGATGCCTCTTTATCTTTCAGTGAAGTATTAATTTATCTATTCAGACATTCTTATGACTCCAAATGACCACACAAGGGTCAATAGCAGCCACTCAGCAGCTCAGTTAAACCTTCTACTGTGGGCAAATGTACATACAAAAGAAAAAGGAATCCCTATTTTTAAAGAGCCATGACTGGATAATTTATAACAGGGGTGACTAACATGGGTATGGCGCACAGATGAGGGAGGGGACAGGCAGCACAGTGGGAGGCAAATAGGGCAGGAAGCAGAAGACAGCAGCAGATTGGGCAAGGAGCACAGGCAGTGAGCAGAAAGCAGAGTAGCATATCTGGCAAGGGAAATAGATTGGGTGGCACTTAGGGGGAGTGCAGGGGTAATTTGTGGCACACATGCCAAAAAGTTCACCCTCACTGATTTACGGTCTGGAGCACTGCACCCAGACTTTACAAATCAAGTGCTGTAAGCATTTACCAAGAAGTGGAGTCCACTTGAATATAACAAAGGGTACCTTGAGTCTAAGAAGGCTGAATACTGGTTTAGATGTTCAGAAAAAGTGTGACTGAGCTTCACTGGCCAACAGGTCTTTGGTATTTCTAAATGCCAGTGGAAGAACCTGGCCTACATTGTCTTTGGTAAGAACTGGGGTATCTGCAAAATGCACCATCACTGTTGGCTGTCAAACAAATGGTAAACATACAAATCTGTGCTTCTCCCTCTCCTTTCTGACATGAAGAATGAAATACCTAGCAGCCTTGACATTTAAACTACAAGATCTTGTATCTGAGTTAACACCTTCCTGAGATGAATAGGTTGGTTTACACTTCTCAAAGCTATTGTTCCACCCTCTCTGCAAACTCACAGACTTCTCTACATCTAGTTCATGTTTTGAGGTTTTCTTCACAGCCGTAATAGTTACAGCTGAACTAAAACAAAGCAAAACAAAACCATATGCAGAGATAGTGTCAGTAAGTTCTGTACCACTGCTCACCAGATCCACCTGAGCCTTGGCCTCACAAACCATAACAATGGCTCAAGCACACCGAGGAGTCCTCCAATCTACCACGACTTGTCATTTCAGAATGAGGGCACAGATCAAACACAGACCTTCGACTGCTGAATAAAATGAACAAACAAGTCGACTAATCTAAGAAGGAAGATGAATGTCTATGTCACTGGTTTCATTTATTTTTAAATACAAAATGTTCTATGGGTGCACGCAAGAAGAGGGTAGGCGATGGCCATTAGATGTCAACATGGGGAAGGTGCATAGGAATAGGGCTGGGAACAGCAGCTGGATATCAACAGCAGGAAGCTACATGGGAATAGGGCTGGGAACAGTGGGTGGAAACCAACAAGGGGAAGCAGTAGGGGAATAGGGCTCGGGATAGCTGCTGCATGTCAACATGGGGAAATTGTAGAGCAGAGGAGGGCAAAACATGGCCCACGGGCTTTCTCCCCCAGCCCATCCAGAGTGGCGTGGCAGGGGCAGGATTAGGAGAAGGAGCTGCTGCTGGAGACGAGAGGAACAGAGCAGTCCCACCAACCCAGGCCTTAGCCAGCGTGCAGCTTCGAGCAGCTGTTCCCAGTGCAGCTGCAGACTGCCAGGTGTCCTCCCCTCCCCTCCAGCAGCTGCTCCTCCTCCCACTGCGCCACAACAAGCAGGGGGGACTTCAGCCGGCACCGCCTGCTGGAGGTGAAGGAAGCAGAGCAGCACCCGGCTGGCTGCAGTCACAGCGGGAATGGCCCTGCCAGAAGCTGAGTGCTAGCCCGGTGGGCACAAGCTTGGCAGGCTGCCCCAGGCGGGGCGAGGGAGCTCTGCTGCACGTGCCCCCGCCAAGGCAGCCCCCCACCCTCAGCAGGGCGGGCGAGGAGCAGCTCAGCCTTGCCCATCCCCCCGGGCTCCCCAGCGCCCCTCCCTGTCTCCCACAGGGAGCTCTGGAGACGGCGGGGTAGCCCTCAGGCCTGAGTTGCCACGGGGCGCTGGAGCCAGCACTACAGAGCGGGGGGCGCGGGCGGGCGGGCAGTGCCCCTCCCCGGGGGGCGGGGCCGCCCCTACCTGCCGCGCTCGCGGGATGCTCCATCTACCATTCGGCGCTACCGCAACAGCCGCCGCCACATTGCCGGCGCATGCGCAGAACCGCGGCCCTGCCCGAGAGCACACGTGCGCAGCGCCCCGGAAACAGGAGTGGGGGGAGGGGGAGATAGGCACGTGACCCGCCCACGGGCGCGGGTAGCAGAAGCGCGCATGCGCTAAGGGCCTTTAAAGGAAGCCAACCCTCTCCTGTGTCATGCGCTGGGGTTGGGGGAGGCTGAGCAGGCGGGGACGTGAAGCCCTTATAGGCTAGTGCGGGTTGGGGGTGGAGCGCAACCGTTAGTGCCCAGTGAAGGTGGCGGTGGGTTCAGTGTTGTTGTTGGCCCGAGCTTGGCCGTGGCGTACGCGCACTGCATCACTGGTCGTGTCCCTCAGGTGCGCGGCGCGCCACGATTCCGCCCTCGTGCCCCGGGGCAGAGGTGTCTTGAGACACGGCACAGAGGAAGCTGCGGTGTCAGTATTGTATATCTTAATCCTCTGGTTGTTTTCTTTACCTCCAACCACATATGAAAGGGCTCCAGCCTTGGCTGCCCCTCACACCTGCATTGTTACATCCCCTCATATTGGGCCTCATCCACACGTGACATGCCTGGCTTGGGTCAGTCCACAACACACACATCACCAGTTCAGGTCCCCGGCACTAACTTGAATGCAAGCTGGAAAAAAAGCAGCCATGGCAAGTGTAGGACAACCAGAAGTCACAGCTGTCCCTGTGCCCTTGGGTGCATCCCAACACTGCTGGGTTACTGTTATGATGAAATAAGTGGAAACGCAGCACTTCACAGAAGCAGGACATTGGCTGCCCTGGTTCCCCTGCTTTACCAGGAACAGGTTACAGTGCCAGGTTAGGGTTGAGGGTAAGTCTTACAAAGAGTTTAGATTATGCTTGTAACGCGTGGTTTGAATAGGAAAGATCCTGCCTCAGACAGGTGGATGGGCTAAATCAAGGTTTCTTAATCTTATTTTGTACTAGGACCCATTTGTAAACACCAGTGGCTAGTCATGACCCAGCGCCCCTCACTCCCACCCTGCTGCCCCTTAACCCTGGGCCCCAGCCCTGCAGTGTGTGAGGATAGGGGGTGGGGGGCAGGGGGCCCCAAGCAGCCCCTCGCAGGCTGGAATGCTGCCAGCCTGCCAGGGAAAAGCCACCATTTCCCATGTTTTTCTCCTTTAAAAGGAGAATCCATTTTTGAAGTTTGTTAATCCATTTTTTAAAGTTTGTTCGCTACTCTTTCATATATTCCTGTGACTTGACCCTCTTTTGAGTCGTAACCCACAGGTCAAGAAACACTAAATGACTTCTGGAGGTCCCTTGCAGCCCTACTTCTCTACAACTCTTGTGACAAACGCATGCTAACCAAATAGCAAGGTAGAAGGAAGGGATTCAGTCACCCTCCGGGAAAACCAGGAGTAATGGCCACAAACTCTTGGAAGATCACTTCAGGCTCAACTCTAGAAAAATCTTCTTCGCAGTCAGGGTGTCTAGATGTGGAATAAGCTCCTTCCAGATGTGGTGCAATCACCTACCCTGGAAATCTTCAAGAGATTTGACCGTCACCTTGCTGCGGTCACCTGACCCCAGTTTTCTTTCCTGCCTAGTGCAGGGGGCTGGACCCAATGATCTTGCAGGGCCCCTTCCAGTCCCTAACAATCTACGATTCTGAGCTGTGCCACCATGGCTGCCCCCCACCACGGCTGCCTGCCTGTTGTGTCGCAGTCTGTATACAATGAGCAAGATTTGAAGCAGATTGCAGGAAATTCCTCCCATCTGTAAGGGGTGGCATGTTACAAAACACAAAGATAACTCATGGAAAATACTACCAATAAGTCCAAGGAGACTTCATTCAAAAAGGCAAATGGATTCATCATACCCATACTGCCTCTTGCAGACAGTTTGAGCCAGCATGTCAATTGAAAGCATCTTTGGAATAATTTGTATGGAATACAAGCAGTATAAAAAAGGTGCTTTCAAATGGGGAATGAATGAAACAATAAGTAGATGCAATAGAAGCAGCTGAAATAAACAATAGTGGTGACAAGAATTTGTTTTTTCTGTTCACTTTAGGGCATTTGTTCTACAGTCTTGCAGTCTGCTCTAGCTCTGTTGCAGGATGCTTTCTTGCAGATTTTTGGCTATCTCTACACTGATAGTTAGGAGTGAGCTTGAAGTCAACCCTAAACCCATATTCACTGGGCATCTAAGCAATAAAGCTCTACACTTGAACCCTGGAGGGAGTGTAGCCCAAGCATGAATGCTCTGTTGACCCCAGTGCCATTCACCACTGTCCTGGCTCTCCCGGCGGTGTATTTGGAACTCATTTGGACATTGCAAGCAGAGCGCTTAGGAAGTCTACCCACCAGCAGCAACCCACAATTCTCTGTTACAGTCTCCTTAAACACCACACCTGTCTATACTATCCAGATGGAAGGAGAAGACTAAAACTTAAAAGGGGTCCACTCTGCATCCGAGCAACACAACATGCATAGATTTGCCTTAGGCTTCAAGGTAAGGTATAGTCTCCTGTGGCTTCAAGTGACTGATGTTGATCCTCCAAGTCAACCTCAAATATCCTAGTAGATATATTTGGCAAAAGGCAGCTTCGGTTTTTAGCATCACTGTCATTGGATGGCGTCCTCAAGGATGGCCGTGTTACCCCTAGAACCCTTCAACTGTGCCAATACAGCCTGCTGGGCACCCTCTATTCTCACCCACCATGTCTTGATGTCATTGTAATGAGTAGGGAGGCTGCCTTTAAAACCTACTTGGGTACGGTCCTGATGGACTTGCTTGAAGCCCATGGGTCCTGGACCACTTGTGGGTCCCGTTTCAAAATAGATATCCCGAGGATACCCCAGCCTTATGGGCTATGTGTGGCTCCAACCACCCCTTTACCACGCCCCAAGCCTCGCAGATGGCATTGACGTTGTCCAGTCTAGGCCCCAATGTGATTTGGCCCCCTTGTCCTCTTTGGGCTCTCCGCAGCCCTGTCTCCATGCTCTCGTGCCACACTGGGGTCTGTGCACCTCAAATGCCATGCCCTCACTGACACAGGTCCCCATGCTGTAGTGGGCCCCCAATGAGGCCTCCTTCCCCAAATAGCCTCACCCAAACCACTGGTGTTATAAACAACAAACAAACATAAGCCCCTGGGCTATAACATAATACAAAAGACCAGAGTATGATCTGCCCCTCTAAAAGCACCAAACTTCATCCCCAGCACTAAGTGTCTAGTAGGCAAGGGTACCTGCAGAGCTCATGGAGCCCCATTGACCCTAGGTGCAGCATACCAGGCAACTGCTGCTCCTTCACTGGGCATTTCCTCCCTAGAGGCTCCTTCCCCTCTGGCTGCTAGCAGGTAACTGCCTTTACTAGCTGCAGCCTGGGGTTTATATGGGCCCAGGCCCCTGCCCCTTCTAGTCAGCTGATCATGTGCAGGTGCAGGCTAATTTGCCCTCTGGCTTGTTGCCCTGGTAACCTGGACCTGGGCTTCTGTCTTTCTTTTTGGGCTCCCTCCCCAGGCAGTTTCTGCTTTTCTAGGAGCAGGGCACCTTAGGGCCCTGTGACAATCACAAAAAGGAAATCAAAAAATGACTGTAATGAACATAAATTTATCTAAAGTTAGATTCTTTGCTGTACTTTGATACATATAACCCTGCTAAATCTGAACTTTTAGAAGGGAAGAGTTCTACAGGGTTTGAGGTTTTTTTGTTTGTTTGTTTTTTAAGAAGAGGTCCTGAGCACAGAAATTGTCAACTCTGAAGAGGAACACATGATGTTTTCTTGTGGTGCAGAGTCTGGCCCACTGAAGCCAAAGACCTTGTTTACATTCATAACTGTTCTTGTAACCATTTTCTGACATTCATTTGACCCAGTTAGATAAAACCCTTTTGGGCGCATCCAGACAAGTGTCACATGCAGGGGTATGCATTTGCTGTGGCTCAAATAGCAGCGGTACATATTTGTGACACTGCTTTGTGCCCCAAGCTATGCCCCTGCACGCACACTCTGACACGTGCCAAGTTGTTCCGGGTGGGATAGAGGAGTCTGGGGCCAGCACATTACCTGGGGCCCTAGAGGCTTCATGGGCCAGCAATGGCACCAATCCAGCTGCACAAAGCCTGGCCGGCAGCCAGAGCATAGCTCCGGATGGTCAGGCTCTGTTTCTGGAGGTAAACACTGTTGCTGTGTGTGCTGCACTGTTTTTTTTCAGCAGCTTTTTTTGACAGCAGGATCTCCTGGTGTCAAATGCTGGCATCACACTGCAAATTAGCAGCATGGCAAATGGGTGCATGTACACCTCATGCAGTTTGCAGTGCTACAAACTGCACATGTGCACTTGTCTGGACACACCTTTGAGTTTTATCTATACAACGCAAAAAAGGTAAGCCACATTTTTGCATCCAACACCTATCATTCTGCCTGACCGTTTGTATCAATACATTCTGAGAAAGTTTGGGTTGCTTCTTCATTCGTGTTTCTAGAATACATGGAAGACAATTAACAATGCCAGATGGGACTGTACTATTTATGTCTTATTTATTTTGTAATAGTATCTAAGGACCCCATCAGAGTTCAGTTGTGCTAAGTACCGTGCAAGCACTTAACAAACAAGCATCCCTGCTGCAAAGAGTTCACTAAGATGAGAAGAGAAAAAAATTACACAGCATAGATTCATAGAATGTAGTCTGGAAGGGACCTAAGAAGAAAATTTGCAGTGTGTGTGTGTGTGTGTGTGTGTGTGCGTGTGTGTGTGGAGGCAGGGGGTGTGTTTGACACTGGGAGAGCCCAGTGTCAAAAAAACCCGTACCTAAAAAAAGCATGACGGTGCATGCAGAACAAAACCAGAGCCTGGCCAGCAAGAGCCACATTCCAGCTGCTGGCCAGGTTCCCTGCTGCTGGATCACTGCAGCTGCAGCCTCCGGAGGTCTCCAGGACCCCAGGTAAGACTTCTGGGGCAAGCCCCAGTGCTGGACCCAGCATCCCCTATCCCAACCAGGCTAATATGCCAAACGCCAGAGTGCACATGCACAGGCATTCCCCAGGGACAAGTAGCAGTAGCACACATTGTGCCGCTGCTGTTTGTCCCTGGGTAAAAGCATGT